ATAACTCAATGATTATCCTAATTATATTTTAGATTTTTTATATTTGAAAAAAGATGTTTATCCTGTATTTGATTGTGTTTATCTGCAGTTAGTTACACGGATTCAGTTATGGGATGAAATCAGATAGGGATGAACGGGTTTAAGAGTTTTAAGAGTTTTTAAGAGTTTTAGTCAAATGCATTATAATATAGTATATATATATATATATATATATATATATATATATATATATATTTGGGATCATGTGAAACCAATGGTTTTTCGTGAGACCTGTAAAACAAATTCTTAACCCTTGGATTAGATCTATAATTTGAACATTTATAATCACAAAATTGCCACGAGACTTCTCAATAATCACAAAATTGTCACCGTGTAACTTTAAACCGTTAGATCATTAACTTATAAAGTTGATCAATGAACATAAATTGATCTTACGGGTCTCACGAAAAACCCTTGGTCTCACGTGAACCCAACTATATATATATATATATATGTGTGTGTGTGTGTGTGTGTGTGTGTGTGGAAGTTCAAATGAGAACACTTCAATTTTATGAGAACACGAGAACACTCTTATCACATGTGATAATACGCGTGAGGGGACCCTGTGATGTGCGGACGACGTGTTCTACGACTTAGGTTGCGCCAAAAGTTGCATGCGTCTATGATTCAGTATCACATGTGATGGTCTTGATGGATTATAGTATCATATCAACAACACCCTTATCACATGTGATAATATTTGTGAGGGGCTTAGTGGTGTAAGGACGACTTGGTCGCAACCAAGATCGCATCAAAAATCGATCACGTCTCTGATTTAGTATCACATGTGTATCATATGTGATGAAATAATAGTATCACATGTGATTGTCTTAGTAAAAGATTTTATCGCGTTCTCGTAAAATGAAGGTGTTCTCGTTTGAACTCTATGAGATAGAATATTGGACAGATATGACATATTTATAATTAACTCAACCGCCTTTTATAAATGTCCGCACGAAATTAGATATTCTAGCTACTCCATCATATAACCTCAAAGACTCGGGATTTGTTTGTTAGATGTTAACGTGACGAGAGTTTTACCAATCTTTAGTTAAATATGTACAACGAGACGAACTGACGATAGACTCGAATTCAGTAATTCAATTGACTAGAAATCGTACACCGACTATTTTAAGAAAATTATTTTAAGGGTAAAAATAGTTCAAATAGTATTTAAATCTTTACTTTATAAACACAAAAAGCACAAAGAGTCCTACACATGAGAGATGGAGATGGAGATGGGTTTAGAAGCAAATGAACTCCCCAACTTCATAATCCATGACACCATCTCTGCAACTCCTTTTAACTGCCATGAAACCACCATCTTCCACCACAAACCTCTTCCCATCACCTTTGATTCTTCATTGACGACGGCGGCAGAACAACACGGCAGCCCGGAAAACGACGGTGGAGGAGGGAGGAGGAGGAGGAAGAAGAAGAGGGGTTTTAGAAACGAAGAAGATGTAGAGAGTCAGAGAATGAATCACATTGCTGTCGAGAGGAACCGCCGGAAACAGATGAACCACCATCTCGCTGCCCTGCGTTCTCTCTTGCCGGAATCTTACCTCAAAAGGGTTTGTTTTTAATTTCCCTTGATTATTATTTAGTACCAAGACGAGAGATCATGTGATAATAAAAGTTAAAGTGAGAAGCATAAGAAAGAATTCATAACTCTTCATCACTCTTAATCTCACACCCACCCATGCATTTATCACTGAAATTTATCYGGTGCTCAGTGATCATGTGARAATAAAAGTTAAAGTGAGAAGCATAAGAAAGAATTCATAACTCTTCATCACTCTTAATCTCACACCCACCCATGCATTTATCACTGAAATTTATCCGGTGCTCAGTGATCATGTGARAATAAAAGTTAAAGTGAGAAGCATAAGAAAGAATTCATAACTCTTCATCACTCTTAATCTCACACCCACCCATGCGTTTATCACTGAAATTTATCTGGTGCTCAGTGCACTGCATTAGTGTTGATCTTCAATTAAGATTGATTTAAGGGTGAAGATCTATTCTTACCCTTCTCACCATAACTTTTATTATGAGCGAAATTTAAAGCAGGTTCTAAATGAATCTTGCATTATGGATTTAATTCTTCATTTACTTAGAAAATAGGTCCAGTTGTAATTATATATATGTTTATAACATTTTAAATTTTGGAGTCAAATAAGACGTTGACCAAATGAATACTGTTGGATCGTGTAAATTAATAATAGAATATTAATTAATATATAACTTATTTTATAAATTAAAAAAAAAATAAAAAAGAAAAAGAGGACCATTTGACATGTATTAAATTTAATCTTTTAACCAACGTCCCATTCCACCTGTATCTTTTTGTCTCCTATTCTGCTAATAATCATTATTCCTGTTTTTCTCTTCATACCATTTTTGGTATATATAGAAACCGAACAGTGATCAATTGCAAACCTTTTTTATTTGTGAAAACTCTACAAACCAATTTCATATATATATATATATATATATATATATATATATATATTGAGAGAGAGATAGGTTCTATGAAAACCTAAGTTTTGTTGTGAACCAGGGTAAAAGAAAAGCGCATAACGTGTCACATAGATTCATGAGTTATTCATTGTGAATAATATATATCATTTATCATGGATCATGAATGGTGTATCATTCATCTTTAATAGTTCACGAATTTTCATGTTCATTATTCATGATGAATGTGGACAACCGGAGATACTTGTTGCGGTCTCCTTTGTCCACTGGTTCACAGTAGAAAAAAATGTTTACTATTGAAGTACTTTCCCCATTATATATCCATATATATATATATATATCCATATATATATATATGTGTGTGTGTGTGTATACACTAATCAAATGAAAACCACAAGAGAAAGTTGAGAACGAATTTTCATGTACTGATTTATAATTTTCACTTTGTGAAACAGTGCATATAACAATATAGTGTTTCACAATATAATTATTTTCATTCTTTTTGTTTCACATTGCAAAACGATACTACACTGCCACATGCATTGCTTTATAATCTGAAACAACACGTATCACATGATGAATGATTCTCACAATTCTCAACTTTTTTTATGAGCCTCATGCAATTACATACATACATACATACATATATTTATATCCATGTATGTATATATAACCTGTGAATGAACACGTTTCACACTTTTCTTTGTCCCCTAGTTAACAACCTAGAATCTGTTTGCAGCCGAACTTTTTTTCTCACACACACACATAGGGTTAGGTTCCGGTGAGAAGGAAAATTAACTGAGAAGCGTAAGCAGAGATCTCCACACTTGGATGCATATTAGGATGAGATGCACCGAATCAATCCCCTTATCAAGCGCAATTCATGGGTGTGTTTGAGATTAAAGGTGATCAATGGTCCAAATCCCTTCTCACGCTTCTTATTTTAACTCTCATTCTCACACGATTCTTCCCCTATATATATAGATGAGCCGTGTGAGAATAAGAGTTAAAGTGAGAAGGGATCTGGATCCTTGATCATGTTGTATCTCACTTTAATCCTATGAATGGTGCTTATCAAGGAAATTGATCTAATGCATCTCATTGCACCTCAATAGTATTCATCTTCGGTTAGGATTGATCCAAGGGTGGAGATCTCTTCTTACCTTTTACACCATAACTTTCATTATCATCAGAATCCAACCCTCTTTATATATATACATATATATATATATATATTTATATATATATATATATAAAGATCGTGTGAGAAAAAGATTTAAAGTGAGAAGCGTAAGAAGAGATTTAAAGTGATTGTGTTTTAGAAAGGAATTGATCCAGTGCATCTGGTGCACCTTCTCATTGGTGTTGACATTCAATTAAAATTGATCCAAGGATGTAGATCTCTTCTTATGCTTCTCACCATAACCAAGCCTATATATATTATATTATATTATATTATATTATATATATATATATATATAGAGAGAGAGAGAGAGAGAGAGAGAAAGGATCGTGTGAGATTAAGAGTTAAAATGAGAAACACAAGGAGAAATCTGAATCTTTGATCACTTTTGATTTCACCTCCACCCTATGGATCGTGCTTGATATGAGAATTGATCTAGTGTATCACGGTGCATCTCATTACTATTGATCTTCAATTAGAATTGATACAAAGATGGAGATCATTTCTCACCTTTCTCGCCATAATTTTATGTCTCACTGGAACTCAATCCTCTCTCTCTCTCTCTCTCTCTCTCTGTGTGTATATATATATATATATATATATATTGCGAGAGAGAGAAAGATAGGTTCATACAAGAATGATACTCATTTAAGGAAAAAAAAATATTCAAATTACATACAAAATCATATGTGATTTTATATTAACAGGTGAAAAAGGAGGCGCAAGCGACTTTAGCCGCTACCTCAGGTCGCGGGGAGAAGTCGCGTGAATAACATATTTTATTCGTGATGTTAATGTAAAATCACAGGTGATTCAACCATTTTCTTAAATAGATATCATTAAGTTCAAACGAGAACGCTAATTATTTAAGAAAACAAGAAAAAAGTCGTTAATGTACAGAATCGCATATGATTCACGTACAAAATTATACATGATTCATACACACTGACACACACACATACATATATATATATATATATATATATTCACGTACAAAATCATACATAATTCACACACACACACACATATATATATATATATATTCATATACAAAATCATACATGCTCAAAAGTCGACAACTCGGGAACATGAAGTTGGAATCGCTAGTAATCGCGGATCAGCCAGATTAATGCACTTTAAAAGCACGCTTCTATAAACAACTTCCAAAGAGAAGCGAACGAGGTCTTCGTCTACCGCGACTTTGATTCCATTTATTTGACGTTAATTTAATATCACATATGATTTTATATATTAACAATATTTTTCTTGTTTTACTAAATAGTTAATATTCTAATTTAAACCTACACACACATATATATATATATATATATGTATGTGTGTATATATGTGTGTCTGAGAGAGAATTATTGATCTAGTTTAAACAAAATAACCAAAACTGCATTTTTTTTCTTTTCTAGAAATTAATTTTCTTGTCATTTTGTCGGGTGTTTTTTTATTCTTAAATATTTTTACTATCCAAAAGTATATTCTTTTATATATATATATATATATATATATATATATATATATATATAGTTGGGTTCACGTTAGACTAAGAGTTTTTTGTAAGACCCTTAAGACCAATTTACGTTCATTAATCAACTTTATAAACTAATGATTTAATGGTCTAAAATTGCACGGTGACAATTTTGTGATTATTGAGAAGTCTCGTGACAATTTTGTGATTATGAATGTTCAGATTGTAGATCTAATCAAATGGTTGATAATTGGTCTTACGGGTCTCACGAAAAATCTTTGGTTTCACATGATCCCAAATATATATATATATATATATATATATACACACACACACATATATATATATATATATATGTTTGTTTATTTATTTATGAATATAATGTATCGTTTTCTTGTTTTAAATTATAAAGTGAATGTAATATTTTCACAATAAAAATATTGCATAATTTAAATTAACTATTAACAAATAAATCGGTTATTTTACAGGGTGATCAAGCATCGATAATTGGTGGTGCTATAGAGTTTGTGAAGGAGCTCGAACACCTCTTGCAATCTCTCGAAGCTCAAAAGTTCCTCTCGATTCGACAACAAGATCCAACCATTCATGACGAAAATAGTAATAATCCGACCCAAGAGTGTGAAATACCACAACTACCCCTCCATTTTCAGAAATTTTTCACTTGCCCACAATACACTTGGTCTAGCATCCCCAACACGAATGCTTCAAAGAGCAATGCCACAATGGCGGATATCGAGGTCAATTTAGTCCAAACACATGCCAATCTTCGGATCCTGTCACGAAAACGGCTAAAACAACTGTCGAAGATGGTTGTTTTCTTGCAAACATGTTACCTTTCGATACTCCACCTCAACGTCACCACTTTCGACCCGTTTGTGCTCTACTCCATTACTCTTAAGGTACGTATAAGTACTCGGAAGCAAAGAAGGATTGAACGGTACAACCCTTCATTGCATCGTTTTAAAGTATTATGAAGGAATAAGTGTCACTCATTACAGTAATGTTGGATTTACAGGACGTTTAAAATGTTAAAAGTGTTCCAATTGAATGTTTTATAAGACTTTATACTACAACAAAATTGAGTTTATAGAACACCACCGATTCTAAATGTCTTAATAAACTGCTTTATAAGACTTCATTTCTAGGATGAAAAAATAAAAGGGTCATATTAAAAGTGTTGTAATAAGTTTATAGAATGATTTTGATGTCTTAACAAGTTTTTTAGGACAATTTTAATACAAAACGTTGTATTCACATGTGATAACTTCAGACCATTTACCATCGTTTGAAAGATCGGTCGGTACACGTAAACCGACCCGAATCATAGTTTTAAAAAAAAGTCATTTTGTTTAAGTCAGGAATGGTACCAAGTACTTTCCCTTTTTACCTTACAAATATGTACAATGATGGTACAGGAAACAACTAAAAAAAAGGGTGTAATGATGATTGATGAGGGTATTTTTGGAATGAAGAAAATAAGTATGAATGTGTAGCTTTTAATGCATAATGTACAAGTGATTACAGCAGCATTAAATATTATGCAGGTGGAAGAAGGGTGCTGTTTGAATTCAGCAGATGAGATTGCAGGTGCAGTCCACCAGATCCTTGGACTTATTGAACAAGAAGCTACCCTATGTATTGATTCCAGAGATTAATGAAACATGGCTTCATGCATGTCCTTTTACCAATTTACCCCTATTGTGTTGGGGGTAAAATCGTAAAATTTTATAATGCAATTGCCATCCTCTTATGGGTTTCTTGTCATTTTCAAGTACAACACCACTTTAATTAAGATGTTTTCATGTGGGCTTGATTGGGTATTTCACAACAAGTCACCGACGATCCTAACCGACCTTTTACAAAACCCGTCTTTAAAAATACCAATATGAAGAGATGTTTTTTTGACTCATTCAACGATTGAAACTAGTGGCAGGCGGGCGGACGCCGGACGGGTTGGGGGGTGCGTGACTAAACCGGAAACTTGTTTTGTATTTGGACAGTTGTCAACTGAGTCGCAAGGCAAAAGCGGGCATGCGGCTTGATTGGGTATTTAATAATTTTAATTTTGCAAAAATAAAGATAAATCGGCACAGATATAGTTCAACTTTAGCTCTGGAAAAACCGGTCTAATAGAATAAAGAGGAAACCATGTCATAAATGTAAATAGAACCATGTTAAGATCGTTCGTTTACTAGAGCGAAGATTCAATGATAAAATACAAATGCTATGAATCCAATGATTTCTGCCGCTTCCGTTATTGTTTCCGGATCCTTTATTTTTTAAAATGTGACATACCAAAAATACTAACAATGTGCAATGGTCTATCGGGCCAGCCCGATGTTTGAACCCGAATTTGAAGGCCCAAATGAGTTCATATTAAAATTCCAAATTATGATCACTTATTTGTTCATTATCCTTATTTTATTTTATCTAAAAGTAATCATTAATGATAACAAGTATAGTGTCCGGTTGGTTTGAGCTTGACTTTACCAGGTCAAAAGTATCAGGAGGTTCTACGTTCAAATCCAAGGAGGAATAAAAATCCCTTTGTGGCCACGGAGGTTCAAATGCGGTGACTCCAGGATATCTGCAAAACAGGTGGTCGCCCTGGAATTAGTCGGCCCACATAGCGGGTTGGATAGCCAGGTTAATAAAAAAAAGTGTTATATTCGACAAATCACGAATCAAACTTGTAGTATAACGTATATTTTTGTAATCATTTAGTGTTGTTGACTAGGCTTCGAGTGGTCCAAATTGGTCTCGATTATGTCTGATCACGTTCCTTTCTATATCGCGTTTTTTTAGACAAATCTTTGTCTAGTTCTTCACTTGAAACGTTTAACCGTTTTGAATCATCAGATCAAACCAACGTTATAGCCGATCTTTGAATTACCATGTATTTATCGAGCCAGATTTTACTTTCAAATAATTTAAGCATCTCGACAATATGTATCTAGAGGCCTTTCGTTAACGAATGTAAAACTTATTGCTCACATCAGTGTTTCTCTAATTTCTAACAGTAGACAAAACGAATACATCTCATCGCCTCTGTAATTTGTATATCTGTATCTTTATTATCTTATTTTGCAGTGTAATCAAAAGCTGTAAGTATAACAGGGTCTTCAAAAAAATTGAAACATCTCTGCTCAGACTCAAATACAAATACTTCTTTGTTTTATTTTATTAATTTTTTTTATTCTACTTCTTGAATAAAGTAATAATGTATCAGGGGTTAATATACGATCGAACATAAAGTTTGGTGACAACCGATTTGTATTCTTTAAACCCTCGTTTCCTTCGAAACATGTTCCGAGGATCCGACATCACTCCGATATCGGAGTTCTTGTCGTCCCATTACGTCGGCTTGATCAATGAGCCAAATGTCATATATTGAACCCCGATTTCGGCATAAATAGCCCATTGATTTCGATCTTCTGATCTTCCTTCGTTTATCTTCTCTAATCTCAAGTATGGCATGATCCGTTCCTCCTACGTCAACAGTGATCACCGGAGGTGGTGGCGGCGGTGGCGGTGGCAACGGTGGTGGTGATATAACTGTTGAAGCCTTATCTTCGAAGCATACTTTCGCTCTACATAACGGGCAATTCAGGTGAGTTTTAAGCCAAGTATCAATACAATAGACATGAAAGGCATGGCTACATTTTGGTAGAAGCTTAATACTCTCATCTTCTTGAAACTCCTGTAAACAAACCGAACAATCGGTGCACGAAATCGAACCATCGCCTCTTTTGTACTGACATATCGTGATCGACTTTATCAACGCTTCATCTAAACCTTTACCTAAAACAAGCCAAGGTACATAACTCGATTGATCGCGATCTTCACCGTGATCATCCACTCCCATTTCCGGATCAAGATTTTCTTGATCCTCAAACGTTAACGACACCGACGATTCGTTGTTCCTCAAGCAGTATCGTGATATTATGATGCAATAGGCGATCACGAGAAAAGAACTTGAGATAAGAGCAAATATCACGATCACCACCGGTGAGAGGGTGGCGCCACCCAGATCATCCGCCGGTAGAGGTGGTGGCGGAGATGGGAGGATGACGTAGTTGCACCACTTTGTGCAGTATAAGATGCAATTCTTCTGGGAGCAATTTTTAGGGTTTATATGAGGTATCCATGTTTTTGGATCCTTCAAAGATCCCATAACAGCAAAAAAGAGGGTTTCACTAAAACTTGATAGAATTTGAGAATCTTGAACAGCTATATATACAGATATCCTATGTTCTTTAAGCTTCAAGAAACCTTTAACTAACTGCTGCAACAATGGCGGTTTGAAACCTGTAAAACTGATGGGGTAATGAAGGTGATCAAGATCAAGAACACTTGAAGGAAGGGATTCGAACCCTAATTTGTGGATTAAAAAGAACGAAAAGAGTTTGAAAAGATGAACAGAAATGTGGTGGAAAAGCAAATGAACTCAAAGGACTGAATGGAAGAATGTAGGGAGGAATTGGAGGGATATCTCTCTGTCGCTTTTTCTTGTTCTTTGTCTTTGATTTTCGTTGATAATTCTTCACCTTTTTTTTTTTTTTTTTTATGTATTTTGATTGGTGATATATTTGAAGAGTGTTGGTTAGGAAGTCGTGAAAGTAATCAATGTTCTTTTATATTTATAGAAGGCCAGTAGTAGTTGACGGTAAATATAAATAAATATATATATATATATATATATATATATATATGGAAGAATTCAATCGAGAATACCTTCATTTTACGAGAATACGATAACACTTTTTTACTATAGACAATCACATGTGATACTATTATTTTATCACATATGATACACATGTGATACAAAATCAGTGACGTAAACAATTTTCGATGCGATCTTGGTTGCGGGTCAAGTCGCGCTTACACAACTAAGCCCCCTCACAAGTATTATCACATGTGATAAGATTGTTGTTGATATTATACTATAATTCATCAAAACCATCACATATGATACTAAATCATAGACGCAGACAACCTTTGGTACCGCCTAAGTCGTAGAACACGTCGTCCGCGTATCACATGGTCCCCTCATGCGTATTATCACATGTGATAATGATGAGTTATTATGCAACCATTTACATTTGTACAACCAATACAACTCAATCTCAAACATCCATTTAATTTGATGAATATGTGATTTCACAAAAGTTTTGATTGTTTTCTAATATAAAGTATTGATCATAATTAATGAACTCTCATCATTTTCATAAATATCTCAATTGATTGAGTTGCATTGGTTGTACAAATGGACATGATTGCATTTGAAATACACCATACACACATATGTATATATATATACATATATATACATATATATATATATATATACATATATATATACATATATATATATACATATATATATATATATTGTAAGTTTCAAATGCAACTCATCACATTTGTACAACCAATGCAATCCAATCAAATGAGATATTTATGATAATGATGAGAGTTCATTTATTATGATTTGAATATTTATGGAAGATTAATAAGGTTTATTAATTATGATCAATACTTTATATTAGAAAACAATCAAAACTTTTGTGAAATTACATATTCATCAAATTAAATTGACGGTTGAAATTGAGTTATATTGGTTGTACAAATGTAAAGGGTTGCATAATAATCTACCTCTATATATTATTGTTGGTATCACTGGTTTGTTAAACTAAACTGATTACGGTATTTTGGTCTTGCAAACTTGATACACTTTATATTCAAATGTTATTTTCATGATGCATTGATGTCATGCGGGTTATAAATTGGTTTGTGTTTTGATATACACAGTAGAAGTAGTTAACCTCGAGATAGTGCAAATCTCTTGGGAGTTATTTATCCGTGTGCCTTGAATCCGTTTCTTGAGTACATTGGACGAGCATCTACTTGAGGCCATATTTCTTTGTCACAGTGGAGTAACAGTTTGTCTACGAATACTATGCATAGTTCATTGAGTTAGTGTTTGATGTCAGTTTAAGAACCTTATCTTGTTCCACTCTTGTTTCTTCCAATCAATTTCTTAACTGCGGTTTCCATGGGAATTCACTAGGCCTATCGGTCTAATCCTCGCTTTCTTTTCAAAACTAAAACCATTTTCAGGTCAAAACTACGCAAAGAATTCTTCCAAAGGTAAATCGACGATGTGAGTCAGCTTAGAGCGGAAACGAGACTAGAAGGTTCAAACCAATTTAGCTTATATTCATGTTTTTTTAATTAACCTGGATATCCAACCCATTATGCGAGCGGACTAATCCCAGGACGACCACCTGCTTTGCAGATATCCCGAAGTCATCGCATTTGAACCTTCGTGGCGACAAGAGGATTTTTATTCTTCCTTGGATTTGAACCTGGGATCTCTTGTTACTTTTAACCTTTTGGAGCCAAGCTCAAACCAATCAGACACCACTCTTATGGTTCTTATATTCAATGTTTATTGTTGTTAGATTTTGAGGTGTTACATATATCACATTTGTTAGCATATTAATTGAAGATGTGCACCAATTGGGGTACATAAAATTAAATGTGATTGAAATTGAGTCAAGGAGTCAATGCATCAAGTTTGATGGGTCCATGAGTTGAAGTGGATTGCAAGTTTGAACAAATCAAACTTGTGGAATTCACTAAAAATAAAGAAAAC